TTGTTTCCTATGTTGGGATTCCGTCATGTTCCTCAGCTCCTCTATTTTTTCATGTGTCCTCTCTAGATTTATTAATCATGTCTTGCACTATGGGCACAATCTCTGCTGTTATGTGAGAAATTATTTCTGATTTCATTTTTTCCAGATCCTCTTTTGTTGCCAGGTCAGGGAGTCCAGGTGGTTGAGTATCAGATTGTTCCATGTCACTTCCCTTTGGGTTTGTCGTAGCTGATCTGGAAGTCTGTTTTTGAGGCTTGTTATGTGCCTTCTCATTTCCATGGGGGTGGGTGGGTGGGGTCGTGCTGCTGGTACCCACATGGCTTACCTCCTCTGCCCTGGGAGCAGTGCAATGGCGGCCGGGGAGCCTCCTCCTGGGTGCTGGGATTGGCTCACCTCCTCTGCCCTGGAAGCTCTGGAATCTATTGGTGCTCTATTTCATCATGTAGATTCAAGCTACTGTTTAGTGCCGTTTTTATTTCAGCATTTCATGTAGGATGTGTCAGCTATAGATGAACTCTCTCAGTTTTTATCTGGGAATGTCTTCATATTTCTTTCAGTTTTGAAAGATTGTGCCCCTGGGTTCAAAGTCCAAATATAGAATTACTAGCCAGGCATAGTGGCTGAGACAGGAGGATCACAAATTCAAGCCCTGAAGCAGAATTTTAAAAATACAAGTCCTTCCCAGCCTTGGGCAGTTCCCCCCCCATATCACCCCTCTCCCCTGTAGCTGTAACTTCTTGTTCTGGTACAGATAAAAGTAACAACTATGTCCTATAAACAAAGTTTATCACATTCTGTTTTCATGTGATTCATAAGACACTGCCTTCTTTCAAGGCAAAGCCATAAAACCGTCTGCCCTTGTCCTATTCCCATAAACCCACTTGCTACATCACTAGAAAAACCACCCCCTCAACAAAATGTGTAAAAGCTGAAACTTTTCTTTGCCCAACACTCAGCCATTTTGAACAGAGTCTGCTGAGCTGGTGTGTACACCTTAAATAAATCCTCCTGACTCCCATTTGGTCTCTCCTGTCTCTTGGAATTCTGCAACAGGGCAAAAGGGACAAATCACACAGCAAGTGAACAGTGTAACTGTGTAGCTGTCTCTGGATCTGAAAGGTCAGGGAAATGACGGTCAAATCCAGCTCAAGCCTGGTCCCAGCTCCCAAGTCCAAGGTCTCAACCACCCCATACTCCTCCATAACCCATCTCCAGCTTCTTTCCTGGAGTTGACAAGGGAAGAGGTGCACCCACCTGACACCATTCCATTCCATTTGGCTTGAACAGAACTACAAGCAAGACCCAAGGCTAGGGGTACACGAAGAGTATCAGGGTTTCAAGGATGGAGGCCTCGGATGGGTAGACACTGTTCTCCTGAGTGACTCAGTAGCCTCAAGATACCAACTGGGGAAAGGAAGCTTTCTTTGGTGACTTAAACAACAAGGCTCCAGTAATCTTAAGTGGCATTATAAAATATGCACTTATAAGTTCTTTATAGCATGCTCCAGAAACAAGGATTTCAAAACCCTGAGGGAGAGAGGGAGCGATCTATCCATAAGAGGTCTCACAAGGGAGGACAGTGCAAGGCCTGGGGCACTGGTGTACCCACATTTGAGGTCCACCAGCTTTCCCAGTGAGAAAAAGAGGCCCCAAAGGAGACAGGCATCTTGTGGCCTGAGCTCAAAGAGAAGGATTTGGGAAACAGGAACCAGAGGAAGCCAGTCAAGAACCTGCCACTCTTTTTTTTTTTTTTTTTTTGGTAGCAGGGATTGAGAACCTGCCACTCTTGATGTATAGGGAAAGGGTAATGGGAGTTGCCAGAGACCCCCGCAGTGGTCCTGGCCTTCTGCAAGCCAGTATGATGTCCACAAGATAGAAAAGTGGAAATTAAAGAAACACAGACAGAGACTTGAGAGAAACTGAGTCTTGGGCTGATCTAAGCTGCTCTGGGCAGCAAAGACAAAGAACTTCCAGGACATCCAGTGGCTATTCATTACAAGTGTGGGAAGGGGGGAAACTGGGCAGGGCTTGGGACAACTGCTGATAACAAGTATCAAGCAGGCAGGACTGTAGAATAAGGACACAAGCATATCTTTCTCAAGAGAACAAATGGTTAATTCAGAAGGGAGGAATTTAGCTAGAGCCGAGTTGACCTTGGCTGGAAGTGAACTTAGCTGATTGGGCTACTTCCAATGTAACACAGCCGAATTATGGAAGGGCAAGAATCTTGTGCCACTATAAGCCTGCTAATACTGAGCAGAGGTGTCTGCCACATTGGTGGACTGCAAGTATGAACCCAGCCTGGACAAGTCAGCAAGACCTTATTTCAAAGTAAGAACTGAAAAAGTGCTAGAGACGTAGCTCTGTGTGAAGGTTCAACCCCCAGTCCTCTGCAGCCATTCTGGGATATAATAAAAGGAGAGACGTGGAGATGGGGTGAGGCTGAGAAGAGAGCAGCCTGGGATGCTGGGGCCAGCAGGTGCTCAGCAGAGCGCAAGCTGTGGGGCAAAAGAACATGGCCACGCTCCCTCATAGTGTTGCTGCCACCCACACAGGGTCAAGAAGGACACGTCCAGCATTTGTAGAAAGCACATCTGCAGGTCACTCTGGAGAATAAGAGGCCAGAAGATGCCACACAACTTCCATGGGAGGTGAGATTTGAAAGCAGCGAGCTTTGTGGTGTCACCCAGAGTCCCTGACTGAAGTGCCCATGGCCTCAGGTTCATATCACGACCACCCATATAAAGAACAGCTTTATTGGTGATGCAAGGGAGTCGAGGTTTCCTTTGTGACCCGAACTCCAGTTGCTATTGGCCAATCACACAGTTCATGAGAGTTTGACAAGAGGTCAGATCTCTACCTCTAATTAGAAAAATTCCCAATCCTGATTGCAGAATCAACAACAAGGTCAGAGGCTAGAGTCCTGATGGGCATCTGTGTCCCTGCCCGTGGGGGCTCGGGAGGCTGGTCAAGTTGTTCAGCAACATCTGGGAGGCTGTGGAGACAGAGGCCGGGAGTGCTACAGGAAATTCCCCCGGGAAGTTTCCGAGATGGCTCCCACTTGGGTGGGCACAGAGCCTGCAGCTGCACTTTGGGAATGATGAGTTAGGTGGCCAAGCAGGCCTGGGGAGGACAGAGCCCTGCTCACTGGCCTTGGCCTGCCAAGGCTCCGTGCTGCAAGCTCAGCAGGGCCACCACAGGCTATCACCTGCCGAGGCTCCTCACTGCTGGGACCTCCGCTTGGGTATCTCCAGGCTCTTGATGGGATACACATACCACATCACCACCCCCGAAGGGTTGATGATCGCCGTGAAGTTGGTTTCATCCCGGAGGCCCGTAATGATTTCACCTGAGAAGACATCTTGGGCCTGCAGAGGGGAAGGGACACCCGCAATGGCAGCACGAGGACAGCCATACAGAGATGCCCTCAGAGGATGGAGAAGCCTGGATTGGGCCTGCCTGCGCTGGGACTCCAGTGTGCCCTGCAGAAGTGGGAGCCCCAACTCTCCCCTCGCTTGCCCCCAGCAAAGCGGATGGTTGTCCAAGCACAGAAGGCAGAGAAAGCCCCAGCCCGTGGAAAACCACGAGGACTGTGGTAGCGAGGGCTGAGCAGTGACCAGCCTAGGAAGGTAAGGAGCCTCCTTTATGCACAGTGGCTCTGTTCTGCAATGCTAGAAAACACTGGTACAGAGAGAGACCCACAGTGCCTGAAGTGGCCCCATGTGGCACCTTCCAGAGGCCTGGGAAGCCCCATGTGAGCAAGGACCACCCCCAGCAACACCTGGCAGGGAAACGGGAAGTCAGAGCTGGGCCTGGGCTGCAGGGGGATGGGCACTCACCTCATACACTCGGGATTTGGGGAATTTCAGCTGGCCCAGAGATGAGCTGTAGCGGTAAGGCATGTCTGTCCTGCGACTGAAGAACACCAGGGCACTGGCCTCATCAGACAGGGGCCGCTTGAACACTTCAATTTGAGATTTTTCCTGAGCAAAAGATGGCTGCCGGCTAGGGTCCCTTTCTAGCCCGCCTCTGAACTCTGCCGCCCACCCCAGCTCTATGTCACACATAGGCCTGGCGACAATGCCACAGCCCTGTAGCATCCCAGCTCATCTAACCCTCCTTTCCTTCCCTGACTCAGCAAATGCTCACACGGACCCTGGGACAGGTGCCATGCTAGGACACAGAGGCAAATGCTGTGTGAGGCCCCACCTTGGAATCTCCTAGGAGGATGGGAGGGACAGATGCTGAAACAATGTATGAGTGCTGCCCGAGACAGCTGCCAGTGCTGGGCTGGAGTGCACTGCCCAGTGGGAACAGTGAGTGTCACTCTGGAGGGGGGACAACAGCAGAGCTGGGCTTGAGGGTGCACCCCATCCTACGGAAGGTTGTCTGTATGCATTGTGTAGGTTCAGGGAAAGTTGCTTACATTTTGGAAGTTTCAGTTTTCTTGTTTGGAAACCAACGAAACAGTATCTACCTCACTGAGAAAATGTATCTAGAGTGTCGAGCACATAATAGGTACTCAATAAGTACTGAAACAATCCCTTAAATCCGAGAAGGGAGCCCTCATTCTCCTCAGGACATCACCTGTGTGTCCCCACCCTGATGGCCATGAGCTGTCCTGCTTGCATCCAGGAAAGGGGGGCCAGCTGGAGCTCCCAGCAGAGTCCTCGACTGCATACAACCCGGAAGGGAATTCAGAGACCCAGCCCCCATCTCCACCCTCAGGCTGGCTGCCTCGATCTCCATCCCACCCCATCTTTCCCCCAGCATCCCAGTACCTTGAGGATCCTGCGTCCCTGGATGCCTAAGGGATCCTGGTTGATTTTGATTATGAGTGGATTCTGCAGAATGTCCATGTTCTGGGGGGAGATGGTACGCAGGTCTGTGGACATGAAGAGGGGAGCGGCCAGCACTGTCCACAGGGCCATCTGGGCCCGGGCTTGCTCAAAGCTGAGGCCAAAGTTCCCAATGATCAGCTGGGGACAGAGGAAAGGAAAGTCGGCTCTGCCCTCCTCAGGGAGGTGGGTATGAAGGCCATCGCAAGAGCAGACAGGGACTGGCGAAAGACAGTCATGTGAGGGGCCATGGCTTGGCACAGCTGTGTGGACCTAGGGCAAGCTAGTCACCTTCCATATGTATATCACCTGTCTCCCAGTGAGAGCATGCAGTGATAATAAACTGGCAGCACTTCAGATTATTCAGATAAGCAGATGGGGTCTTGCTGCCGAACCAAAAAATATACCCACAGTGGCATTGGTCAGAAACCAGACATAAACAGAGTCCCTGTACTTGCCACTAGCCATCGACCTGCTCTAGCCATTAGTGATTGGTCCAAAGGGGACTCTGACCCCAGGGCAACCAACCAGTGTAGTCAGAACACAGAGTTATTGCTAATGCAACATGGTACTGTAGTAGGTGACAGCAATTTAACTAAGCACTTGGAGATGTGTGAAACACTGAGCCAGGCATTATAACATCATTTAACTCTCAAAACAGCAGGATCGGAGGCTAGGCAAGACTGGGCAGGCTCTGCAGGATGGTGGGGTACAGGGGATTGAAAGGGAGAGCCAGAGGCAGACAGGAAGAGGGCTGGCCAGGAGCCAAGAAGGACAACAGAACATGGAACAGATGTGATGTTGTCTCAGGAGAGGGTTGGTTGCTACAGACTGAGCTCTCTGGCATTAAGGAACATCGGAATGGCCTGCAGGTGCTTAACAATGGGCACGCTCGGGCCCTTCCTCTGAACATTCTGACATGAAAGGTGGGGAGCAGGGCCCGGGACCCAAACTATAAACATGGCTCTAAGGCCAGTCTCACACATTCTGATGCACTCAGTTCAGGGACACATTTCAGGAATGCTGATCTCCAACCTGGCAGCAAGTATCAGGGAAGGAAGAGAGCATGGGGTAGTAGGGAGCAGAGTCTTCAAGGCCAGTAGGCCTAGGAGTGCCCCCCTTCCATGCTGAGTACCATGTCTGGGTCATTCCAGTGCCCAGGGCCGGCAACCGGCTGCAGAACATCCTGGTGGAGCACAAACCAGTCCAGGACAGACAGCACGTCCTTCCAGGAGTCCTGGATGTCATCATAGTTTCGCCACAGGTTGCAGATGTCGGCCAGCAAACTGTAGTTCACCTGGACATCGGGGAAAGGCAGAGTCCACACCACAGTCACACCCTGCTGCCTGGGGCCACCAGGGGCTGAGGAGGCCCCGCAGGAGACAGAGGCTGGGAAGGAGGAGGAATACAGGTTCCCAAGCCTGTTCAGGACCAAGAAACCCTCTGAGAGGGTGGCCCTGCTAGGGGGCTGCCCAGGTCTCCCCTCCATATATGCTGGTGCCAGGGGTCTACCCTGCCGTCTCATGCCTGTGGGGACCAAGCCCAGGGTGTAGGCCCAGCCTGGTGCACCTGCAACCTTCCCCATGTGCACACACACATGCCCTGTTTACTGTTGAGTCCGGAGTCTGGAGGTGTGAGCCTACCCTTCCTAGTGTCATATGTGCTGGGTGTGGGGTGTCTGAGCGAGGTGTCTGGCCTCACTACCCTTCCGGATCTCTAGCACATATGGCTCTCCTCTCTCCTGCCTTAGATGGCAAGCCCTTCAGCCCACTCTGTGAGGGGCCTCCTCTTCTTCCAGGCCTTGGGCTGGCTGAGGCCTCTTTTAGGTACTATGACCCCTGCTCTAGATACCCACAAGTCAGCATGTGGACAACTGTGGGTGGGAGCATCTCTGGCTCTGGCAATGACGTCCCTGAGCCTGGTACACAGGGGGCAAAGAGGCCTGGGCAGGGGAGCCCTGGCAGATGGACACACAGAACGGCTTACCTTGGGGGGAAGGCCTCCTTCATAGGCTGGCCAGCTGCAGGAGAAGGCGATGGGGCGGCCCGTGGCATTCAGTGCAGCAGCCATCATGGGGTACCCTGGGGAAAGCCCAACCCCCACGGGGGAGGGGCTCAGCTCAAACTTTGTCCCTTCATGTATGAGGAAACTGAGGCTCCCAAGAGGAAATGCCTCCCCTATACCCAGAGCCTCAAAACTTCCTTAGTGGGCTGTGGTTCCAGCTCATCTCAGGGACTAGGTACCATGATCCCTTCTGCTCCTGGGTGAGGAAGACTGTGAAAGCCACCACCAGCCCCACACAGATCAAGCTCCCACAGCGCCCCTGATGGCACCAGCCAGCTGTAACCCACCTTTGGCCCGATCCTCCGAGGTCGAGAAGCAGCCGTCCAACTTCAGCATGTCCACCTTCCACTCGGCAAAGGTTTGGGCGTCCTGCTCCACTTTGTCTAGTGTGGTGCCCGGGTAACCCATGCAGGTTAAGTTGCCCATGTCCTCATAGATGCCCAGCTTCAGGCCCAGGGAGTGAGCCTGTGCGGGGAGAGGAACAGTGGGCAAAGGTGGGACCCTCAGGGAGTCGCCACTCAGGTACATCTGACCAAGATGCCTTAAAACCTTCCGAGCTCCTACTGATCAGAGAGAGGACCCAGCTTTCTGCCTGGCTGTGGCTCTGGCCCGCCCTCCATCCAGCACACACCCATCCCACTGGCCGTGTATTGCCTCTGGGATCAGCTAAGAACTGCCTCCTCCAGGAAATCTTCCTGGAGTTCCAGGCTGAGATGCCCTTTCTGGCTCTCACTATACTGGGCCAAAAGGAGGTGTTCATTCGTGAGTCTCCTGGGTTGGGTGCATTGCCAAGCAGGGACTGTGTAAATTCACCCCAAGCAGGGTGGGAGGGAAGGAGAGGTGTGGCCCTCAGGCCAAGGGCCAGGGCCAGGATGAGGCTCACATAGTCAGCCAGGAAGGCGATGCCATGGGGGAAGCGCTTGGAATCAGGCATCAGGTGGCCTTTGGCATCACGCCCACCAATCCAGCAGTCATCGATGTTGAGGTAGATGTAGCCCAGGTCCCGCCAGCCATCCTTTGCCAGCCGGTCAGCCATCTCCATGAAGAGGCGCTCACTAGCAAGGGGCAGAAGATGAGGCACTCAGTGGCCCAGCCTGGCCCTCACTCCTGCCCTTTCCTCAGGTCTGAGTGTGAATCTGAACCATAAAAACCACAGTCCTGATGGCAGCCAAGGATGAAGCAAGAGAACAGTGTCAGTGACCCTTCAAGGGTGTCAGGAGCTATAAGCAAGGTGGGATGAAACGAGTGGTCTGGGCCTAGACCAAGGGGCAGGACTGGACAAAGGAAAGCATGGGGGGGGGTCTGTCTGCCCTTTAAGTTGTCTTTTTCCAATTATCTTGGAGGCCAGGTACTCCACAAGATCCCTGCCCCACAGAGGCCCCAGGCAGGTCACAAGGCTAGGCATCAGATGTCCCTGATGTCACTTGTGTCTGACCTTGGCCTCTTTGCCAGCTGGACCCCCTCTCCCTGCCCCCTACTCTGCATGCTTTGGGCAAGGCTTGTTGGGTGGGTGTGGCCCTTACTTACCTGATACAGTTCTTTGGGTCCTTGTCACAGTCTGTGTTACAGCGGAATCGTTCCCAGGACAGCCAGCCCATGGGGGGCGTCCGCAGGAGCCCATTATCCAGAACCAGCACCTGGCCCACCAGGGCCAACAAGAGCACTGAGGCAGGAAGGATAGGAGACAGCATGGTGACTGATGGCTCCCACAGCCATGGCCCTTATCCCATCCATCTACTTGCTGCTCCCAGACTCCTGGGGTGGGGGTAGAACTGGCTCTTCCTGTAACAGCTTCCCAGTGCGGTGCAGTAAGTGGGGATGGTGCCAGGGAGGGGAATGCATGTGAGCTCTGACTCCTCATTTGCTGTTGCCACAGGAGGGTGGAAATTAGCAAAGGAAAGCATTTCGTCCTGTCCTTCCTATTCACCCAACCAGCTCCCCCATCATCCCCAGGACTTGGCAGTTCATTGTGGACCCCAGACTCCAGGTGTCCTAAGCCCCAGTCCAGGACTTCTGCTCCCACCACAGACCTGAGGAAGGCCTCAGAAGGATTTAAGAGGTCAGCAGGGGTGGACCAGTACCCAGCTTGCTCCCCTAGGTGAGCCCTTTCCCTCAGGGGCTATAGTCGCCTTCTGTGTAAGTTACAATGTCCCTTCAGCGGGCTGGAATCAGCACATGTTGGTATCATATAAGACAGGGCCTCTTGTATTTGGGGGAGAGGAGGTGAAAGAGGAAGTGGCCTCTTTGGAGGGGAACAGATTCCTGGTTGGGAACCCGATTACTGGGTGGGGAATGTTCACTTTCCCAGACCAGCTTCAGGAAAAAGAGGAAGACGACTCCCCACATAACCCACATCAGGGAAGAAGGACGCTCACCAGAGGGCTGGAACTTCCTCCATGGTCCCCCCACAGCATCCCCAAGCCACCGTGTAGGTGTAGGTACCTATCTTCTGAAGCATTGCTTTAGACTCTGCGTCTCAGGACCCGGCCAAATCTGCTCTGCTCTTATCAGTTTTCTATGTTGGATCCTGGAAGATAAGGCACTTTGGAAAACACTGAGGTCGCAGCTGCCTGGCGACCCCTGCTGCCCTTAACCTGGGCGTGGGGATCCCACTTCGGATCCCCACCATCACCACCCCACGCCAGCCCCAGCCCCAGCCCCTGCCGTCACTTCTCGAAGCCTGGGCTCTTCTTTTAGAGGTACTAGGCAGGGTGTCTTGGACGTTAGACCTCACACCTTCCAGGGTGCCGGGGGCCCGGGGCGAGCGCCTCAGGGTGCCCTCTGCCAGGCCAGGGCCAGAAAGGGTCAGCGACTGGCTCCAGGACGCCCAGGAAGTACTGAGGCGCTGGGATCGGACCAGGGTCCGGATTCCCATCCGGGTCGGGGTTCCTGCCTTCGGCCCCCAAGGACGTTAAGCCCAGGGTCCCAGCACCGGGATCACAGAAGCTCACTCACCCGCCGGTCCGCTCAGACTGCTGCCCGCCGGTTTCTGCCTGTAGGGCCTCTGGGGCTCGCGTCACCTGATTCGCTCATTTCTTTCCGGTGGGGGCGGGGCCTGGAGGAAACAAGCCTTCCGGCGTAACCTATCAGAATCCCTGGCAGAATCCCATGCCCAACTCTTAATGGGCCCGATCCTCCCAACGCTCCGCCCTTCGAACCTCCCTAAGCCCCGCCTCCACCCCCCCACCCCCCCGAGCGTTCCAGAGGCCGCGAAGAGCGGAGCAGCCTTAGGGTTTGGGTACCCGCTTGGCCCAGGGCTGTGCCTTTGGCACCTGCGCGACACAGGAGGGCGCGGAGACTTCCTGGAGGCGCACCGTCAGCAGCTGTGCTGTGAAGGAGGCGTGAGGGAATGGCCTGAAGCATGGTCCCCGGCAAACCGCTCAGAAAGGGTAGCGGAAAGGCAAGCGAGGTGAGGCAGGAGGTTGGAAAGTCAGATCCCAGACTGGGCAATGGGCCACTCATGGAGACCCTGTCTCAAAAAAGAGAAAGGACGCTGGGGATTTAGCTCAGTGGTTCTACTGCCTGCCTCGCAAGCGCAAGGTCCTGAGTTTGATCCCTGGTACCAAAACAAACAAACAAAAAACCAAAAAAAGAGAAAAAGGGGTCGGAGATGTAGGCCAGCACAAAGCCCCTGGGTTCATTCCCAAGTAGTAACACACACACACGCACGCACGCACGCACGCACGCACACACACACATGTAAGGGAAACAGGCACAGGAGGACAGAAAGCAAATCAGCACTGGCAGGCACAGTTCTAGAAGTCAGGAGGCTCCCCCTGCCCCCATCTGACGCTCAAGGGGACTTCTCGCCCAGGCACTCTGCAAATTCGTCCCCTCATTCATTCGAGGATTTATTGAGCACCTGCCAAGTGCTGAGCACTATTCGGGACACCTTTGCTCCGACAGCCAGTGGATCTCAAACACAATGGTCCCAAAGTGAACACCTGCCACCCTCCATCTCCTCAGGTCATGGCAACGCCACTTTTGGGGACTCAAGTCCAGAGTTTGGAGTCTTGGGTCCTCTTTTCCTCACCCCTCACCTCCAATTCCTCCACAGTTCCTGAGCTCCCTAGTTGGAAAACCCATCTGAGTCTGGCCACCTCTTGCACTCTGGCCGCAGTTCTCAGCTCTTGGCTGTCTCCTGCCTCCACCTATGGCTATTCTTTCCACGGCAGCCTGGCTCGGGTCGCCCCTGCTCAAACCCCTGTGACAGCTACAGTCTCGGTACTGGAGATAGCTCAGTTAGGTAGAGGATGATGGGCAGTTAGAAAGGGACCGGGCCCAAGGTAGAGCCAGAACGGAGATGAGGCACACCAGGCACATGGTCAAGGGCTGAAGGCCCCAAGACGGAGACAGGTGGCTTGGCCCTTGAGCCTCCCTGGAGATGAGCAGCAGCTCAGAGCTGTGCTGTAACCAGTATCACTGGTCCTGGGACCCTGAACAACATAACACTGGATAGATGACCAGAGTGCTCTAATGCTCACTCATACTTGTCAAGAGCCATTCTACATAATTTTGGGGAAAAATCATTTCATAAATTATGATGAGGACTGTCTGAGATCCAGTGTCACCTTGCCTGCTAGATGGCTATGGTATGAGGAAACAACTCCATGTATCTCACAAGCTGAGGCCTCAATGGCCCCATGATGCTGTGACGCTCAAAGGCATGGTCACATCAGTGGAAGACACCCTGATTCTTTTTTTGTTTTTTGGTACCGGGGATTGAACTTGGGACCTTGTGCTTTAGAGGCAGATGCCGGAACCACTGAGCTAAATCCCCAGCCCCCTGGTTCTCTTTGAACTGAGTAGTAATAAAAAAAAAAAGAGAAAGGTTTTTCCTGGGGGAAGGACAGATTCCTTATTAACCTGCTATCTCATCCCACCTACAAGTGCTTTGCTTTTCTCAACATCCTCATCCACATAAGATTACCCCTGCCCTCTGAGTCAGTCCATACTCCCTTCGGGTACTGTGTGTACCCAAAAAATAATGGTCTTTGCCCACTCTGGCACTGACCTCCCAGCCCCCCATGTACTTCAAAATTATGTCTCTATTGTCTTTTTTTTCTTTAACCTTTACAGCCCTCCTCTCTAGGCAAATTAGCTTCTAATACTCAAACACAGTAGGCCCCAGGGCCTTTGCACTAGCTGTTCCCTCTGCCTGGGATGCTCTTTCTCCAGGTATTTCTTTCAAACATCCTTTCAAAATTTTGTCAAATAATGGTATAGTCTCAGTGAAGTGTACTCTGACCATTCTGTTGTGCAGGCCTGAGGGACAAGGGGGTCCAAAATAGCAACTATACCAGATGCGTAGATAAATAAAGAAATGAAGATCTTGGTATAGAATACATTTATAACCATTTGTCAGAGCATCTCACAGACAACAGTGGCATTTTAACATTCCATACTATGCACATTCACCCTGATACCTGGCCATCTGGCTGTCTATTTCCAAAACAAGAACTACAGGGTGGGTGCCCTGGCTTCCGGCCCCATAAGAACAGAAAGGGGTGAATTTGGGAAGCAAAGCTTCCAAATCCATTCCTGGAAGCAAGTATTACTTTGATTCCAAAATCAGGGAAAGACACAACCCAAAAAAGAGAACTACAGGCCAATCTCCCTAATGAATATTGATGCAAAAATCCTCAACAAGATACTGGCAAACAGAATACAAAGGGTCATCCAGAAGATCATACACCCTGACCAAGTCAGATTTATCCCAGGGATGCAAGGATGGTTCAACATTCATAAATCAATAGATGCAATACACTATATTAAC